GGGTGTATGACTAAATCAATCAATCAATCAATCCCCCGTATCCGCCTTACAGCCCCATTAGAAGGCGGACCGTGTTCGGGCAAGCTGCATTAACTTAGCTAAAATAATCTCACGAGTAAAGAATGATAACTTACGGAAATTTTTCTCTCTATTTCCCTCACCGAGCGATCGAGCTCACCAGCAATCATCTGCTTCTTGCCGCTAGGGAGCAATAGGTACCGCTCACACAAATCTCCATCTATTACCCCCTTGACCGGCACGTAGTAGCCGCGGTATAGGAGGTGGTCGCGGCCGGCGAGCGGCGGATCTTCGCTGCGCATGTGCATCTCCAGGGTCTGGAAGAAGTCGGCGTCCTCGCGAGCGACGAACGGAATAAGAACGCCGATCGTGCCCTGCAACCCGCCCCATAAGAGGACATCCGGCCCGCCGACGACGAGGGCAGTCTTGCAGATGCTGGTCGGGATGTCTTGAGCGAAGAAGTGCGCCATTAGGTTGAGCCGGTTTGGAGCGCCGTTGAGGTACTCCCTTGAGATCAGATGAGCCTCGGAACCAGGCTCGTCCGCCTCGGCGCTGGTCTTCTCGGGACAGCGCACGATCCAGACATTGCCGAACTTGTCGCCGGCGGCGACAGATTCGTAATCGACCATGGCCGTGGGCGTTGTCCACCGCGCGATTGTGTCATCGACAAAGGGGATGAGCTTATTGGAGTCTTGCTTGTACACCACCATGATTACGCCATGGTGGACGTCTTCGACGATAATCCGGCTGCCTTGGGTTTGCAGAGACACGATTAGCTGCGGCGTCACGTCGGCTTGAGCTTTTTGAAGTAGTTGCTTCAAGCCTACAGTCGGTCCGACCCAAACACGACAAAACGGTCGCTCTTTTACGCCCATAATAACTTTTCAACTATAAGCTTTATTAATTTATACTAAGTAATGCGATTATAGAATAGAACCAGGCAAAAAATATCTATTAATCAGATTTTTGATATAATTTGTGTTCATTAATAATTAAGGCCTAAAGTATATGGACCCTTTTTACTTTTTTGATTTTTCGTTATATAAAACGCAAATATATTTGCTTACTAAGGTTATATAAGCCCGGATTTCAGGGAGAGATTATAGTATCTTACTAGCCTTATTATTAATAAAATAATAATAATTAAGTTTTATAAGCTTAATTAAATCTTTCTAAATACTAAATATAGCTTTTTCTAGTACTATATATATTATATATATAGTAGAACTATAATTAAATAGGTTTTAAGCTTACTTTTAGTTAAACTAAATCTATAAACCTAGTTTCTTATTTAGTTATTTTCTTTTTCTTTCTTTTATATATTATTCTATTTATTTATTATCTTTTTAGATATTATTCTATAGTATTTTTGCTTCTTTATATACTAAGTAGCTTATTTAATAGTTAATTTCTTCTAATATATATTTATCTAGTAAAATATACGATTATAAAACCTTTATATAGTCTTAATTAAATAAGTTTTAAGTATCTTTACTATTTTAATTTTAGTATTTAGAAAGCTAATTTTCTTTATTTAATAAAATCAAGTTTTACTATATCCCTAGTATATCTTAATTAGATTAATTTTATAATAGAACTTTAGTAGAAATATAGCTTTATATTCCTATTCTATAATAAGCTTTTTAATTTTACTTTTTTCCTTAAAGAAGTCTTTGTAATTCGAGAGTATATAAGCTAAATAGTATATTTATTTAATAGCGGGAGAGTATTTAAGAAATATAGTATATTTAGTATTTTTTAGATACTTAAATCTTAAGCCAGATATATTATATTCTTATTTAATAAGAATTTGTTCTATATTTTTAGGTTCTCTTTCTCTATTTAGATTAAGTTACTAAAGAACTTATATAGTGCCCTATAATTCCGGAATTATATACTTTAGTAAGAAATATATATTTCTTCTAGTATCTTATTTATATTAAAGGTATTTAGTATATCTTTACTATATAAAGTATATATAGAAAACTAATTAAATATTAGAATAGCTATATAATTTGGGTATTTTTATTTAAATATATTAAGCGTCCTAGTAACCTATATTAGTAGCTATTTTATATCTTACTAGGGGTCTCTATTTGAGCCTGGATATATAATTTAATAGATATCTAAATTAGGGTTATTCGAAATAAAAATGCCTTTATTATTTAGTATTTTAATATACCTTTTAGGCCCTATAAATTCAAAATCGTGAATTAGCCTCTTTTTACTTTTTACTGGCATTTTTTACTAATTATTTATTAGCTAGAGGCTCTTTTTATAATTAAAACTATAGAAATAGCTCTTATTATAGAAGTATATTATATATACCTGAACTTTAATTAGGAATAAAGGTTAAATCATATGCCATATACTAGCTTTATTTTCTTTATACTAGACTATATATAATAAAAGCTCGTTTATTAATAGTAAAAATACCTTTTAATAATACTAAATTATATTAGGTTATTCGTATTTATTTATATAAAGCCCTTTTTTAGTCTTATAGTAATAAAAGCCGAGCCTAAGAAGCTATAAGTAAGCTATACTACAAGTAATTAGTCTTTTAATTATTAATAATAATTGAGGTAAAATCTCCTAATTAATAGTATTTAGGAAATTATTTAGTAATATTATTCTAAGCTCTTAATTAATTAACTAAGTATAATAAGCTAAAAAGATATCCTTATTATCTAGATAAGAGGTATTATCTTTTTTACTATTTCTAGCCTTTAATAGAATACTATACTACTACTAATAGTAATTAAATAATTCCCTAATTTATCGAGCTAGTATCTTTTTATTATTAAAGTAGTAATTACTAGAAGCTACTAAGAGTAATATATTAATTTTCCCTAGTTAATACTATTCTGGTTTTAGGAGCTATTAGGTATATTACTAAAATAGGTATAAGTTAGTAACTATATATGAAATATATAAGTCTTTTATTTATATTAGCTTTATATTTATATTATTAAGGACTTCCTAATAAGTTATTTATATATCTAGAGTTTTATTATTTCTATAAGTATTTCTAATAAGGGTATCTAAAAGTAGCTTATTTGTTTTATTATCTTTATTCTTAAGCCTTTACTCTTTTCTTAATTATATATTTCTAGGGATATTAATTAGTCCCTTAATAATACTGAATTATAGCTTTTTTTATTTAAAAGACGGTATAATTATAGGGGTCTTGAGCCTAGTAACTTGAGTATCTTTTACTTTCTAATTATATATATACTTTTATTAAGTTCTTAATGGCTTTACTAATTCCTTTATTAATTTAAAGATATATAAGCCTCTAGAAGCTAGAAATAGTATTAGTATATTTATATTATAATATAAAGATAAGAAACTTACTAGTCTATACTATAAGTCTTTATTTTTATTATATAAATATAGACTTTTCTAAAATAATTATTTTATTACTACTAATAATAAGCTTTTGCTAAATCCAAAAGAGAGTTAAATCTTTAAGCTCTAATTTATTACTTAGTTTAATATCTGAATTATTAGAATTATCCTTTATATTAGAGGGTTTCCTATACTATTTATTAATAGTTACTTGGATTATAGCTTTTTTAGCTAGGATAAGAACTATAATTAAATTAAGAGTTAAATTAGCTCGCTTGCGCTTCTGAAGGCTTATAGAGGTAGCTATTAGAAGTATTTAAAAAGGGTACTTGATTGGGTTTATAGTTATTAAGATATTAATATAATTATGGAAGAGCGGTTAACCTGGGGGGGGGCAGTTATGTAATAACTAAAGTAA